CCCCCCTCCCCTTTTCCTCACTAGTGATTTGACCAATCGTAAAGTGGATGAAGATCTATCAGATTACACAGCGTATGACTAAAAGAAGCTTTCGCGTCACAGACCATTTCAAAAATTTATTGGCGTTGCAGGTCATAGCTTGTGCTTGTTAAGTTAGCTTGCTAACCGTTATTTTGATAAAATCCAGTCTGCCCCTGATGCCTTTTAAGTTATGGTGGATCTTTATGTACGTTTAGAAAGGTTTGCATTTGTAAAAAAGCCTCCGAATCCTTCTAGAATGATTGATGATTGTATTTATGGCACTGTTCCGTCTTACATGTGCGTAATTTGAGGTTCTTGAGTTTTTGCCTCAGACCTAGCTTAAAATGCATTATTCAGTATGATGTGGTCATCTGTAACGAATTGCCGAACACAGAACTCTATCGGGTTCACTTCCCGGTACGAAAAAAGGATGCGTTCGATCAGGAGAGGCATCCACGTGTACGATATAAGAAGAATGTTCGCATGGTAATTTTCATATACTTTGTCGACTTCCAGTCCTTATGAAGCTGCAGCGTTTGTAAAGTGAAAACTTTCTAGATGGAGATGCGTTTATCGGCGGACACATCAAGCGGTTCGTTCGACAAGACGAAAGCTGAACGTTTTGCTGCCATGACGTCTCCGGTCGTTAAACAAGAGGACTTCCCGTGCGTGCACTCAGATTTATCCCAGTAAACCAAATTCTTGATTTTTAGAGCTCCATCGAAATATGAAGAAATCTATGAAGGTCGCGCATACGGAAGAGACGATTTCGTCGAGTTCGGCGTAGGGTACTTCAAGGATGGTAAGGTTGTTTTTGAGTAAGTAAAACCTTGTGCCTTATTCCGATTTCCTATCCATATTCAGATACGTTTTACGTGAGTCCCGTTTCGGGGACTTTTGAAATGCATCGTTCACTTTCTCATCTAAATAATGCCAGTAAAGGACGTGATAATGAAGGTGCGTTTGGTAGCAGTGAGGTGAATTCTGATGTATGTGGTCAATTTTGCAGGCGAAGACGGTGAGTCAGACGGGGAGAATCCGGGTGGCAGTGGGCAGCAGGTAATTTTTCCTGTTGAGGCAATTCGCTCGTCAATAGAATTTTTGGCTTGCGTCCTTGTCAGTTGACATCACTGTCAATATTTCTCATTTTTTGTACAAATGGGTACATAGATTTTCGGAAATAGTGACCGTTTTGATGCGTGACAACAGCTAAAAATTTGTAGTGCAAAGGTCAAAGGCAGTGTCCAGGAAACAGTCGATTTTGAGATTTTGTGCTTACTGGGACCTATTCGCTGTGCTGAATTCGAAAATCCACATTTGAGAGCGCGAAAACATCGAGAACTCTAACGCAGCAGGGAAATCAACAAGTGGGCGCGGTCTTCCCCACTGCCAATTCATGCTCCCAGCTTCCGCAGCTATCTTTCCGATTTCGTTCGGCAGCCTGACGTCTACCTCGGCCAAGTGCCAACGAGTCTTGAAATCGAACCGGGAAGATTGCTCTGGAAGCTGGGAGCGTGAACTGGCAGTGGGGAAGACCCCGCCCACCTGCTGATTTCGTTCTGCGTTAGAGCCCTTTTTTTGCTGTTTCTCCAGTGTGGAATTTCGGATTCAGCATAGCGAATAAGCCCGAGTACTTCGTTAAAGTCCGTTTTCGCCCGTCAGCATAAAATCTCATATTCGACTTTTTGCCCGGACATTGCCTTCAGCTTGATTTCTTCTCTGAAAACAACTTGTGATTTGTCATTCACTTCAAGCATTTGATTTCCTTTGTGAGCAGAAAGCATTTCCTTGATGGAAATTTTTTCTGACATAGTCGCTCTGGTTATCTGCTCGGTTTGAGCAAGTATCGTTTCAGATACGTGTAAAATTCTCTCGTCCCGAAACTGAGAGGCAGAAAAAACGCCGAGAGGCCAGTGCGTTACATAGAGAAAAACTGATAGCGAGCGACT